CCTTTTAAAATTATGTTATAGAATTTTACTTTAACGAAGATCTTTAATTGAATAAATGTATATGGGAGAAGGTAATCATTTATATTAGCATGGTTTCATGTGGATATTTCTTTATTTTGTGGGTTAGGGTCCATTACTAAAATTATTTGTTTTGTTGCTCAAATTGACCCAGATTTGGCCATTGGGAGCCTCTTCAAGTAGTCTTCAGTGTCCTTTGACATGTTCTCATCATTTTTTGGCCCCAAATGATGTCCCAGGTTCATCTTATATTTTCTCTGGCCCAGCCCTGAAAGTCATTCATTTCTCTAAGGAGCCCTGCGTTTTTTTTTGTTTTTTTTTTTTTTTTTTTAAATAAAAAATGGTATTTAGAAGCCCAGACCTGAGTACAGCTATTGCTATTGGGATGTCACCACTTCTAGGTCCCCCTCAAATGACAGAAGTGGGCAATATACGCACACCTACTTCTGTTTCTATATCTGTATATGTATTTAGAAACGTGAATTCATATGGGTGCCTCCAATTCCAAGTCACTACCACGTGGCTTATTCTAGCCCCTCCCCATTTTCTTTGACAGTGACTGTGAGAAACCTGGTTCCCTTTACCCACAATATATTTACTTACTTGATCAGTTCTTGAATGAACATAAGGTAGTTTCAGAAAAGTGAACACATACCTCTGCAGAACAAAGTTTACTATCTAGTGTACAATACTTGCTGTGATTATTTTGTCTTTAACCTCAGAATATCCAGTTAAAATGCTGTTTTTCAAATTTGCTTTCTTAATTCTTTTCTTCTCCACTCTCTTCCATGCGGCTATGTCATTGTTTAGAGTAGAATTGGCTCTATTGTTGCTGATCACATTCCATTTTGAGTTTTTACCACATCTGGGTGGATTTTAATTATTTTTTAAAGTTTTTGAGTACATAAAATTTTAATGTGATTCCGCAAGTCAGAACTATACAAAAAGTCTACTTAGAGGAGTGTCACTCCTCTCTTCGCCCCCTTCCCACCACCTCCTCTTTTTACTCCATCCTATTCCCCAGCTCTTTTCATTCTGCAGTCTGCTACCACCCACTTTCTGGTAGGCAGTGAATCTCTTTCATTTCTGATTCATCATTTCTATGAAGTTTGTTTATTCTTATTTTATACGAATGAGCAGGTTCATGTATATTTTATTATTTTCCCTTCTTTCTTAACATGAAAAGTACCATAATAAGTTTTGAAAAAGTAGCATATAATGTTTGATCTTCGCACTTTGCTTTTTTCACGTAGCTTAGAATCATTACATATCACTTCGGAGACGTCATCCTCATTTTTTATTAGGTCTCTTAAGTACTCCATTGTATGGGTAGACCATAGTTTATTTAACATCTCTCTTTCGTCTGGACATTTCTTTGTTTCCAGTACTTCGCAATTATAAACAATGCTACAGTGAAAACCTTGTTACGTATATATTAATTCTGGAGGTGTATTTGGGGTGAATGGCCAGAAGTAGAAGAACTAGGTCAGGAGGTGAATTGCAAATGTAGTTTTGTTGGATATTGACAAATTTACCTCCAAAAGGGTTCTACCCATTTTCACTTCCGTCAACAGTGTATGAGAGTACATCTTTTCCCAAGCCTCACCGAAAGAATGTTGTCGTGCTTTTTAATTTCTACCAGTACAACAGTTTAAAAATAATGTCAGTGTTGTTTTAATTTGCATTTCTCTGTTTGAATACATTTTCATAGGTTTAAGGGTCATTTTCATATATATATATATTACATATATATATATATATATATTTGGTGAATTGTCTGTTCATGTATTTCTCCCATTTTTCTATTGAATTTTTGGCCCTTAAACCAATGAATTTATTCCACTTTCACTCTCTCTTCTTCCATTTTTTGGTTATATTATTTCTACTTTGCCATGATATATAAGAATTGTATTTTAATCTTCCAACTTAATATCTGGCTTTGTTTTAGTCTCAGATCTACAATTTCATGTATTAATGTGTTATCCATCAGTTTTTTTTGGGGGGAGGGGTTGAAATTTTCCCAGTTATCTGTTGCTTGAGTAAAGCCCATGCTTTGGTGGATCCTTCAGAAAGAGCTCATTCATGTGAAATTCCCTGTGCTCTTGTATGTTTAAAGCTTTTTCTATAGACTTGGTACCGAAAGGCCAGCGTTGCTGGGTATAAAATTCTTGGTCCATTTTTTTTTTTTTTTTTTGAGTCGTTTGAAAATGTGAGGCCATTGTTGCCTTTTTTGTATGTTGTTTTTGAAGAGTCTGATGCTAGTCCAGTGGCTTTGCCTTTCTAAGTTGTTTGATCTTTTTGCTTGGAGGTCTTGAGTATTTTTTCTTTTCATCTTTGAAGTCTAATAGTTCTACTAGGATATGTCTTATATTTGGTTCTTCAGGTATTCATTTTACATGGTGCCTATTATTTCTCCTCCGCTGTTTTGTTTTTCCTCTTTCACTGACTCCAGTTATATAAATGTTATTTCTTCTTTGCCTGTCTTCCATTTCCACCATTTCCTCTCTGATTCTTCTTTCTTTATCTCATTGTCCTTTTCTTGGTTGTTTTCCTGCTTTTCTTCAATTCTTCTTGCTAAATCTTTGAGTCCATTATTCCTTGCATATCTTGTAACTTAAACTTAAGTTCTGAGATGATTTTTTTCCTTCTCTTTCTTTCCTCAGTTCACAGTTTTCTGTTTTTCATTCATTTTTGTTCTTAACATTTGCATTTCTGGCCCAAGCAATATTCCCAAATGCTTGTTTGAGCAGATTTAATTTAGTTTGCAAGTATCATCTTACACTTTTCTTCTGCTTCTTGATTTTCTTTTTTGGGGGAAGAAGGTTAGATTTTCATCATTTGAGTTGTTTTGAGTGAATTTTTTAATTCTTTGTGAAAATTTTCTATCGTTCTGTTGAATTTTTTTTTGTTCCTTTTTGTGGGCTGTTGCTTGTTTAGATTTTGTAGTTCTCTGGTGCCCTCTTCTGTTAGTGTAGCAAAGTGCAGAGTCTTTAATGGAATCTGTTTTGTTTTAGTGGAAGATGGGGAATAGTTTTGTAAATCCTCTAATGCTTTAGGTTTGTTTTATTTTGTACAACCCTAAATTTTCTCTTTGCTTCTTTTACTCCTCCCTACCCAATGGCCAAAAAATATCTTACTTTCTTTTGCCCCTTTCTCTTCCATTGCAACCATGCCTTTTGAAAACCGTAGCTTCAAATTGGGCATACATTTGAGTCCCTTTTCTGTAGTCCCTCATCAGGTCTGCTAGGTTACTCTTAGGATGTTCACACTTATTCCTTCTGGTGGTGATTTTAGATCAACCTAGTTCCTCACTGGTTCCCTTCTTCTCTCTTCCCGTCAGTTTTTCTCAGCTTGTCCTTAATTACCCCAAATGAAAAGAGCAGGGTGGGAGTATAACAGCACTCTTTCTCTATGACAGTTAGCTTTGCTTCCTTCCTTTCTTCCTTCCTTCTTCTTTACATACAATTATTTGAAGTTGGGTCACTGTTCTGTTTCCTTCTGAGGGCACGGTGTTTAGTAGTTTGATTTTCTGTTGTTGTTGTTCCAAGTTATTTTTAGAGGAAATATTGAAAGACGTAGACTTTGGCAGCTGCATTGTCTTTTTAGCTCTCATAGGAATAATTTGAGACCTTGGGAAGTAGAATCTTTGTTGTGGAAAGATTTGTGTTTGATTCTGCTGAGCACTTAGAGGAACCAGCATTCTGGGGTTGCCTTAGTCCATTTTCACAGCCTGAAGTTCTCTCTGTTACCCAGGTAAGGTGACACCTGGCTGGAAGTCTTTATAAGAACTAGTCACTTTTGTATTCATTCTTACCATGAGGATACATCCTTCAGAGCACTTATCTAGCATCCCAACTTGGTCAGACACTGTGGGCTTCCAATCTGGCCTCCCTTTTATTGATAAGCTGTCACAAGCATTGTTCAGCGTTCAGTTGAAATTGGGAAAGGCAGAGAGTCTCAGTATTTCTCTCTGGCTTCGTGTCGGGCTTTTTTCTGGCCTTGTGCTTCCTCACAGAGTTTTGTGTAGTAAATCCTCTCTATTGTGTTACTTCTTTGATGCTTTTAAGAATTTTTGTAGTTTTTAGTAGTTTTATCAGGAGATTTGGTTCTAATTATCCAGCCCGTTATTACCTTGAAACAGCAATTGTTTCATTCTTTGATTAAAATAATTTTTGATTTCATGGGACTTTGGGTGGAAAGAATGATAGATTGATTTGGCCAGTTCTCCACGTTGAGTCACTCTCCCAGCAGGTAAAGACCTGCTTTGTTGTTAAAGATGGAACACTTTATTTTAGTGCTTAAGCAGCTTCAGACTGATGACAGCTGTGATTAGTAATGGTGATTGTGATGACAGAGAGGACAGTGTATTAGCCATTGCAATGTGCCAGGTACTCCATGCCCTTCATGCATTCTTTTATTTAATTATCATGAAATCTCTTAATTTATTATTCCCATCTTTCAAACCATTACCTGAAGCTTAGCTCGCATATCACTTTTTGGAGTTTACTGGATAGCAAATGGCAGAAACACATTTCAGGCCTTGTCCTGACCTTTGGAATTACAGGGTAGCAAAGTCCAGCACACTTCCAGTTTAGGAGGGCTTCACAGGACTTCGTTCCTAGACTGTGCTTTCTTACCTAGTCTCAGGTCACACTTTAAGGACAGTGAAAACCCGATTCACTGGTATTTCCACTAGCGTGGAGAATAATGTGTCTTGTGAGGAAATGACTGCAAAGAAGTTAGTGCAAAAGGAAAATGGAGAGATGAGCAAAGATCAGAATGGTGTCTTTTAATTTCCTAAAGACTCTCCATTACATGTAGCCTAGTGCTTTGTTCAAAGTTGATACCAAATGAATGTTAACATCAGTATGTTCATTGACTCTTAAGACTTCCTGGGTTTTGTTTCCACATTATGTCTTTTGATACAGACTCTGGTCACGATGCTCTTTTTATTTATTTATATTATTCCTCTTGGTTCACAGTTATTTGCTGGCGTAAAGGATGGAGAAAACCTGCAGCTTTTCGAACAGAGTTCTCGCTCTGCCCATAAACAGGAGACACATACCCTGGAGGCCACGAAGCTTGTAGAGTTTGACCTTAAGCAAACACTTACCAGGCTTATGACACATCTTTTTGGAGATGGTAGGTACTAAATGCCTTTGTCTTTGGGGGCTTAAATATTCAACAGTTACCATCTTCCTGAAATCATTAAGCCTACTGTGTCTAGACTTCTTGCTCTCAGTTGTGGCTTAATGGTTTAGGTCCTTAGTGAGGTAGAACTTACGGATTTCCCGGTTCATTCCGTTTGAGGAGCAGAGGAGGGTGTGAAAATGCAATTAGCCAGAGAGAGAAAAATGATCACAGCCTTGCATAAGAATGACAGCGGATCGAGATCTGTATCATCCACGGGGAGGAAGCGAACAGGCTGATTGATGTCGGAGTATTGCTATACCTCAGCCGCTGCTGAAGGGTGATTGCGTGTTTGTATCACCTGCTGGGATGCTTCTCAGGGGAGATGCAGGGCGGGGAGGGGAGGTGCCCCAGCCAGGCCCACGTTAGGAACTTGACGGATGAGGGGATGGTGTCACGGGAAGCGTGCTGTGTGCTCTCACAGCGCTCACAATTGGTAGGTGTTCACAGTGCCCTCGGACCTGGCTGTTCTCCCTCACTCCGAAGGGAAGTGCCGTGCTCTTACTTCAGGCATTTCGGAGGGTCATTTAATTTTTTTATCTGGGGTCGGGGTGCTAGATGCTGAAAAATGTCTCGGTAAACCTGTCTGCGTCCCAGCAATCTGGATGTCCTTTAGCGTAGTAATAGCCGTAGTAGTGACGATGACAGCGAGAGAGTAATTAATAGTGTCAAATGCTGCATTAAGCACTTTTACAAGGATTTTTTTGTTCTGACCTGCATCTGTGATGTAGGTGTTATTATAATCTCCATTTTTTTTTTATTAGAGGAGGGAACCCAGACCCAGAGCAACGAAGTACCACGTGACCACATTGCAGCTTGGGAGTATTTGAGGCCTGGTTTGAGCCCCCTGTCGTTTTGACTTCCGAGCCCATGTTAGACCTTAGCTCTTTTGAAAGGAGAGATACAGATCATTTCAATAATATTCCTAGACTGTGAGGCTTACGGAAGCCGTGATGTTAAAAAGAGGGGGCCTCCCCCGGGTGTTGCCTTCCGACTCTCCCGCCCTCTGACCCCCGTAGCTGGTCGGGCTATACTCTGTTACATTTCAGATACCAAGATCACTTAGAAGCTTCGCATTCAGTCCTTCTTTAATTAGCTGATGATAGGAACTGCCTCCGCAGGCCTCAGAACTGTTCAGCAGCTCTGTTTACACTTGCTTTTATGGCCTGAGCGCTCTCCTCTTTTAAACTGTGAGCGTTGTATTCCTTTGTTCTTGAAAAGCAAAATTAAAAAGGAGAGCACTGTTTCCTTGCGGCAGTCTCTCGTTGTTACAGCTGCTTTGGTGTCAGGGCTTTTTCTCCCTCTCCAAAGCAGTTGATTATTTTCTGCGAACATTTCAATTACACCAGCATCCTAAGGCTGTCATGAGAGAGGTTATCGGTTTAGAATTGGAAAGAAAGAAAATGCCCTTTAGACAGTTTATATGCTTGTGGTATACGCTGACATCTTAAACACTTCTAAATGGTTTCCCCTCTGTCTTGTACCGTGTTTAGCAGATCACTTCTTTCAGAGCAGCTAAGGTGGGGTTTAGGAGTCCTCACACCGTGGTTTCACTTGCTGCCCTTCACGGTGTACGGCCGTCTCTGGCACGGTCCCTTGCCGAGCCCTGGAGTTTCCCTTTAGGAGGCGCCGGCCTCATAGCACAGTTTGGGTGAACGCGTCTGAAAGAGAAGTGGACCGTGTTCCTCTGCTGCCGGCTACATATGTTGCTGTGGCCAGTCGTGTCTCTTCCGTTTAAGAGCAAAACAGGCTAACGGTTGTCACTGAGATGCACTCGCAGCTCCTGTCCCAGGACCCTGCCGGTGGAAGTGCAGGTGGCCTCAGCCGTCAGCTCCCTCCGGGGCCGCCGCAGCTGCGGGCAAGCCCCCTTGCCCAAGGACAGTGCCCTTCCCAGAGCTGCCCACAGCCAAGGACTGCTTGTGGGAGGAATATAAAGGCCCCACAGTTTGCCCCCAGCCCCCAGCCCCTGCCCACCTGGCTCCAGCTCCCTCATCCCCGCTCCCCCTCTCACCCCCGCAACCCTGTCCCTCTGGCGAGGTTAAGGCTTTGCTGGGCCTGATTGCAGTTGGTTGACTCCCCCCGCTGCAGCTGCCACCCTCTTCCTTCCATAGGTGCTGATTCTCCCAAAATAACTTGCTTGTCAACCCAACCTCCAAAGGGTCTGTATGCGGCCCTTGCGTTGCAGGGCTCTGTATTATGAATGCTGTCCTGGTCGGGAGTGAGGTCATTCGGCAGTGAGGATACTGTGTCTTCCGTACCTTTTCATATTTTTCTCTGTCCACGAATCCCTGTTAACATAAATGAAGTGAAAGTGATTGAGAATGATAACTGGGTTTATGGCTGTTAGTCCTACTTTGTTCCTAAGACTGAGTCAGATTTACAGAGCGTTGAAGCATGTCACTTTAATAATTTTGAAGTGTGCTCTTTTGGGCCGTCTGGTGCTGTCTGATTTGCGGAGGGTCGTCTTACATCTGGAGGTGAAGTAGCAGAGCAGCGGCTGCCTCAGGCCATGTGGAGCTGTCTCTGCTCCTTGGGGCTGGGTGTCGTCCAGGCCGGCTGCACTTTCAGATGAAAACTGGCTGGCAAGGTCCGCCTGTCGGAACCTTGGATCACATGCTCTGAAATGGGGCTACAGAGAGCCTTGCCTTGTGCCGAGTACAGATACTCAGTGGAAAGAGGACACCATCACTTTAGGACTCAGGTGGAGAGAGACTTAAGACCCACCTTTCCTTAGGAGTCTGCTGAGTGGAGAAAATACTTACTAGCGTTAACCTTTCTGGCCTGAGGACTTGGTACAAGGAAACTGTTCGGGAGAAAGCATGAGATAGCCACGATTGAATTAGCTGGAATGCTTTTAAGGAGCCTAAGAAAGTTGCTGATTCTCTGGTGACTGGGTAGGGCTAAGAAACAGGTTCCATACCCTAGAGAAGTAAGAAGTTCAAAAAAATTGTGTGGGGTTTTATGTTAAATGAAATGAAATGATTGGGCCTCGAGGTACAGTGAAAAAAGTACTTAAATTTTTCAAGATACTTTAATCAAGACAACGAATGTGCCAGGACTGTGCCTGTTTCATACTCTTTCTACCTGTAGGAGGTTGATACACAGGCAACCCAGAGACATTAAGGTCTAATGGACGAGGGAAAGTTCCTTCTCTGCTTAGGTTCGTAGAAAGCTCAAATTCTTGATACATACATATATTTCATCACATTTGAGAAATTTCAGTAAATTATTTCTTCAGATATTTTCTCTGTTACTCCCTCCCCTTGGGGACTCCAATTACATGTATATTTGGCCACTTGAAACTTTTCCACAGCTCACCGGTGCTCTGTTCACTTTTCTCTCAGTATTTTGTTTTCCTTCTGGGTTTCATTTTAGATAGTTTTCATTGCTGTATCTTTAAATTCATCGATCCTTCTTTTTTCCTGCAATGTCTAACCTGCTGTGAATTCCATCCAGTGTTCTTTTCACCCCATTTTCTAGTTTCAGTTAGTGTCTCTTCATGATCTCCTTTATCTCTACGTAACACGGTCAGTCTTCCCTTCAGCTTTGGGAGCGTACTAAACGCTGTCATGCACATTTCAGCGCCTTTTTCAACTACTTCTGTCATCTGTGCCATTTCTTGGTGCATCGCTATTTCTTTTCCTCTACTTTATGTTTTTTTCTTCTTCTTCTTTGCGTGCCTGATCACTTTCTATAGGATGCCCGATACTGTTAGCTTTACCTCATAACGCGTTGTATATTTCTGTATTCCTAATAATCTCTCTGAGCTTCGTTCTGGGATTACTCAGAAACACTTTGATCCTTCCCATCTCGTTTTAAGCCTTGTTAGGCAGGGCCAGTGTAGGGTTTTAGTCCAGGATTAGCTTTTTCCCACAACCAATTTAAGACCCTTCTTAGTACTGTAACTGATAACCCATGAATTATGAGGTCTTCCATGCGGCTGTTTGGGAACTGGCCCCTTTCTGGTCTTTGTGAGCTCCCAGCGTTATTCCTGCTAATCCTTTCGTGTGGTCTGTTCCCTGGCCTCGGGGAGTTTCTTCAACACACCTGCACTGACATTTTCATTTGTATTCCATCTTCTGCAGATCTTCAGACCTCTCTCTCTACAGCCGTCTTCTTTCACCCTGACCTGTGAACTCTCAGGACAGACTGTTTCCTCAACCTGGGAAGACCTCTGGGCTCCTCCTGTGTTTTCCTCTCCCGGGACAGTGTTAGGGCTCATCTTTCAGGGATCAGCGTCCTTGGTTACCTGATATCCAAGGTCTAGTGTGGCATTGTTTCATATATTCTGTCTTTAAAAAAATTATTTTATTTATTTTTTTAGTTTTTTGAAACTGGGGGCTTGTGTTTTCCTTTTCAAAGAAGAATTTGATCCGGAGATAGATAAAATCCTAAAGATGCATTGTTTAGGTCTGGTTTACAAAAGGATTGCCTTATGATTTTTGTTTTTGGAACAATCAGTGAATTGTGCTTTCATGGATCTCTTGGGGTAACTGAGATACACTTATTTTAGACCCTCAGGCTGTTTTATAAAATTCATCTCCTCTGGGGTGACTTCAGCTTTGGTTGTTGGTTGTGTTGGCTGTCTCAGCGATCACGTAGTTGGGATTATGGTCTGCAGGTCAGATTCAGGGGAAGATTTTGTTTTTGTTTTTCTCCCTTTCTCTGCTTTCCTCCCTCCTGCCCTCCCCGCTTTGCTTATTTATCCCCTGTGTGGGTTTACACTGAGCTCTTCCGACTTTAAATCCAGAATGAGGTTTTGTAGGGACCTGTCAGATGTACTCACCAGCCCTGATTTAGGGACATGGCAGGTCCAGCGCCCAGGGCTTGGCTCTCCAAGCTTACAGCTCTTCAGAGCTACAGCCCCGGGCTGTATTTGGTGACGATTTTTGTCACCCTTCTTTCACCAGCATGGAGCCCATTCTGTCCCAGCTTCTGACTGCAAGCTTTTA